TGTGCCTGCTTACTCTCTTATAACCCCTTCTCCAATCTCTCTGCTATTTCTGTGGATTTAGCTGCTCTAGAGTAGAGTTCCTCAATGTTTCCGGCTTTGCGGACTGGTAGGGGAGGAGAGGGGATAGCAATAGCACAGAGTTACATACAGCTTCACAGTGCTTTACAGCCCTATCTAAGTGGTTTACAGAGTCAGCATATTGCCCCCCAACAATCTGGGTCCCCATTTCACCAACCTTGGAAGGATGGAAGACTGAGTCAACCTTGAGACTGGTGAGATTTGATCTGCCAAATTGCAGGCAGCTGGCAATCAGCAGAAGTAGCCTGCAATACTGCATTCTAACCATTACACCACCATGGCTTTTGGTTAGCATCAGTGGCTAGTAAGGGTGCATGCCGCTCAAAGAAATGGAGTGTGCGTGCACTCGCTCGTCTGCTGCTCACACAAGTGAGGATGCGTGTGCACATGTGCGTGCTTGCTAGCTGTTTCCATGGCCCGGTTGCAACCCCTCATGTCTCACTAGTGGGCCATGGTCCATAGGTTGGGGAGTCCTGCTCTAGAGACTGAAAGAATGGATCAGGAGCATACGCAAGTTCTCCACCTCTCTTTTAAAAGGAACAAATACTAGTATTGGAGTAGACATTCTTAACGCAATTATCTTACTCACCTGAGCAAATAACTGTCCAATACATGAACGAGGTCCCAGCGAAAATGGGAAATAGGAAAAATAAGGTCTAGAAGAAACCACACAAAGCAGAAAATTGTTTCGGTTGTGCTATTCATCTAAGATACTACAACTGTTTAGAAATGTTGTTTTATAGAGCAACCCTTCATTTTTTAAGAATACTATTATTTGTGCTTTCTGCAAAGTGAGGATAATCATATTTACATTTTTTATTTCTCGAAGAAAGCACTGCATAGTCATTAGGATTACAAACTAATTTAACGTAGTACCTCGCTTTTAACAGCAGCTTAGGAAATAACAGCAGTTTTAGGAAATGACTACAGTATGTGTCAGAATGTTGTCAATACTGATATTTACTTGTAATTTTAAGAGATGAACAGGCCCCCAAAACTAATTTCTATCAATAATTCTTAAATATCTAATAAAGCATGGGTCTCCACAATCCCTGGGCTGTGGCCTGCTACGAGGCCACAGCCTATTTACAGTAGGCCAACACACATGTATATGTGCACACAGCTCAAGTTGTGCAAGTTGAGCTGCACATGCATGCACATGCACCCTGCGTGTGCTGTATGCCAGCCCACCACTTGGGTGACCCAGTTCTCCTCTCCCTCCCCCCAACCCCACCATCAAGTGGCAAAGATTGGGGACTGCTGTAGTAAAGCACACATCCCAATGTCATTCACCAACTTAGATGTGGAACACCTGGTGTAAAAGACACACATTATCACCAAATCGTCCTACTATTCTAAAAGACTTGTACATGGCTTCCTACACTGGACAGGGTTTCATCGAGCTCCAGGAGGTAGCATCAAGTGATTACATTAAACAAATAACAACTCTTATTACTTATGCAAGAAAAGCTTGTTTACTGGAAAAAGTTAGAGCAACCTATTTGAAAATCCCTCCTTTCGCTGCAGAAGGTTTATGGCATTTTCTGCTTGACTTTGAAAATAATTAGATTTTTACACAAAAGTTTCTGATAATTTTGCAACATTTCAAATCTTCAGATTAAAGAATTTTAAACACAGAGGTCACCTTGATTTGTCTTTGCTAAATCGATCAGGATCAAAGGTCAGAGCATTCTTGAAATATCTTTCCATGCGTCCCATGAGATAGGTACTGAACTATCAAGGGAAGACAGACATTGGCAGAGATAAAAATAAAGCCACCTGAAAATAACGGGCTGTTCACAGGTATGGGCAAATTCATATTTTAATGAATTTCTAATGTTTGCCTTTGGGCTAGCCTTAAACAAATCCTTGCTGCTATTTTGATTTCAGGATTATGTGAGTATTTTGTCCTTGTAAACTCTGTATGCCTGTATGTATAAATAAATAAACTCACAAATAATTCACAACAGTATTCAATCTGAAAGAATAGCAATAGCACTTAGACTTATACACTGCTTCATAGTGCTTTGCAGCACTCCCTAAGCGGTTTACAGAGTCAGCATATTGCTTCCAACAATCTGGGTCTTCATTTTACCAACCTCAGAAGGATGGAAGGCTGAGTCAACCATGAGCCAGTCAGAATCGAATTGCTGGCAGTCAGCAGAATTAGCCTTCTAACAACTGCACCATCACAGCTCTTCACTGTGAAAGGAAGTCACAATGAAAAAGTCAAAGCTGTCTCCTACAGAATGTAGGACATAGGTTTGTGTTATAGAAAAGGAGATCAAAAATTGAAGGGGGGGGGGGAATTCAGCAGTGAAGCAGTTCAGTAGTGGAATCAATATTCCAGAGCAGTTACAGCCTGCCTTTTACTAGATATTCAAAGATGGCTAGTCAAACATCTCTTCAGTAAGCCATTGAGCTGGATTCAACATTCTAAAATCCCCTTCCAGCACTATGGATTTGTGCCTAATCTAGATATAAAATCCATTTATGACATTAGTGGACAATTCACCAGTCATCTATTCATAACATTTGCTTTCTACTCATTATCATTTAAGTGGCATATATGACAGAAGACTGCACAGACTCACAAATAGGGTGGTGTTTGCTGGAATGTCAATTCCTTCAATTACATTTTTCTTCTCTGTCCAGCGCATAACACCTGCAACTGGTGGGTATAACCGTAGGATTTCTTTGAGAACCTGTAAGTAAGAGCCAGCTTTTCTTTTAATAGTGGGTTGTCCCCTCAACTGTTTGTCTGCTTTTCACTAAAAATAATCTGAAGGCAAGGTAAAATTCAGCAAATCAAATCATGCAAAATTACAAGAATTAAAACCATCATACTAGAGAAACACATTAAATGATATATGTGCAGCTCTAGCAAGTAGGTACATGTAGTTCTCACATAACGTCCACTTGTTCAGCGGCAATTTGAAGTTAGGATGGCACAGAACAAGGGGAATTTACAACCAAGCATTGTATTTGCAGCCATCACAGCACCACTGTGGTCTTGTGATTGTGCTTTGAGAGCTTGGCAACTTGATCATTATGATGTCTCAGGGTCCCACAGTCTCATAATCACCATTTGCAACTTTCACTGCCAGCTTCCAATAAGCAAAATTAATGGGGAAGCCAGCAAGAGATTGCAAATGGCAAATTTAGACGATTTTTTTTTTAATGGTGTGAGTTGAATAAGCAGGTTTTTTTTTTACATGCTGCATCAGATGGTAGATTCTAAAGCTGATGAGGACTAAGATGGAACAGCACATGTACCATGGAAGAGCCATGTCACCATGTTGAGGAATTCTTCTTAGCTAATCAAAAACTTCATCCCCCAACTAGCTGGGTAGATAAGTTTCATTTGCTGCCATGATTGTCTACTGATGCCTTCTAAGCCTGAAAAGTGGGAGCACTCTTCAGGCAGTTTTGGATCCTTGGACATAAGCAATATGTCAGAGAGCCAATTTAGTGCAGTAGTCAAGGTGCTGGAATGAAGAGATTGAGAACTCTAGACCTCCCTGAGATATAAAGACTGGCTGGGTGACTTTGGGCCAGTCCTTCTCTCTCACTCCAACTCATTTCACAGGTGGTGGTTGTAGGGAAATTGAAAGCAGGAGCGTTACTTGCTCCTGCTGCAAGCATTACTTGCTCCTTGAGCTGCAAAAAATAAAGGTGGGATATGCATTTAACAATAAATAATAAGAAAACATTTCCTTTCTACTTAGGCTGCTATCACTTTCTTGTTTCCTCTCTGTTTTAAGAGCTGCTGCACCGACCAGCTGCTTCCTAAACCAGATGAGCATAGAAATAAAACCAGCCTTTTGAAAGAAATGACTGATGCTTTCCAGTCTCTCAGTCTAATTTTCAATTTAAAAAAAAAAAAGAATCTGCCTTCTGTTTCTGGATTATCATAGCCAAGTAAAGAGAACAGAAGCAGAACATGAATGGCAAGAGTACACACTGCCCATAGGAAATGAATATGTCAGTTACAATTATAACATTATCATAAATTACTGCATTGTAATACTTTTTTGAATTCTATACATAGCAGTGGCAAAGTCTTGACTAAGAGCTGCCTTACTCCCACTGTTTCTGCCCACCCTGGCATATTTAAAGTGGGTATATATGTTGTCATCTTATAGAACCTAGAAAGACAGCCTTCTCTTCTTCTGAACAGCATTCCCCCCCCCCAAAAAAAATATAAGCTGTCCTTTCTCTGGATTTCCATAAAGCCCTTAAAAATGTGGTCCTAGGTCTAGGGTAAATGTGTGAAGGAGTCATCGTGCTTTGTTTTAATGGTTATTTTTGGTCCAGGCTGTCTTGTTTTGTTTTATGTTCCTAATTGATTTAATTTACTACAATATTTTTGCTAAGCTGCCCAGGGTTCACTGGAGTGGGCACTTCTATTAAATTGAAACAATCATAATAATAATCATAAAAATAATGTCCCAATACAACCTAACATTCGAAGCAAAAAAAAGTACTTGATTTAAAGATGAGTACTGGGTGTGAAGATTTCACTTTGTAATTAGATGTTCTTACAGAGATTTCACAGCATCAAAATCCCAGTATGTTTTTGTCATGGCATTTAATGATACCAAGAGCCATTTTTTCAAATTTCTTTCAGAAACAAATTTATCACTTACTATCAGGATAGAAGCACGGAAAGGTGGGGTCAAAATCTTGGATTATCTGTAAATTTATTATTCAAGTGTACCTGTGATAAATATTTCAGTTTCCTCAGATCTTCGTAGGCAACGTCTCTCTTCACACCAATAACTTCATCGACTTCAGCCTGAAGTCTAAAATGCAATGGCAGAAGAAACGTGGTTTAGCCAAAACCCATTGACTAATTGTGAATGTGGATAATGTTTTATTTGATGGGACTAGCAAACATTTATAATGACACTATTTGTTTTCATTGTTGTATATAGCAGGGGTGGGATTCATTTTTTTAACAACCAGTTCTGTGGGCATGGCTTAGTTGGTGGGCATGGCTTGGTGGTCATGTGACTGGCTGGGCATGGCCAACTCAACATCACTCACAGCGAGGCATGAATCTCCTCGCCTGGCCTCTCATGATTGTGGGGATGCTGCAACAGTCATAAGTGTGAAAAACGGTCATAAATCACTTTTTTCAGTGCCATTGTAACTTTGAATGGTCACTCCACACAAGCAAAGTACCAGCAAAGGAGGGGGGGAAAAAACAAGACATTCCAGAGACAGGAAGTCTAGTCCTGCCAAGAATGTAATAAGAGTTAATGGAGAGGCAGTTTCTGTAAGCAACACCAGAATGTTTCCTTCCTGCCTTCCTTACAGGATTAGGCCAGTAATTTCTTCTAACAACCAGTTCTCCGAACTGCTTAGAATGTTAACAACCGGTTCTAGCGAATAGGTGCGAACCTGTAGAATCCCACCCACCCCTGGTATATAGCCTGGAGTCTCATGATTGTGGTGGTCTATACATACTACAGTAAGTAGGCAAGTGAATAAATAAATACCTGCATATGTTCTACCCACTTTCAAGATTCAAAACAGTTAATTACCTTCATAGTTCTGTGCTCCCATGCAGATTGTCAGATTTTGGGCATGTAGATTCATCCTGAGAAGGTATAGCCAGTCCAGGCCAAATACAGAGGAATCTGGCAGGGCTGCCTCAAGTCATAACAGACATGGATAACGAGGAACGAGCCAGCCGATTACAAGATCACGGGCAAAACAACAAATGAATCCAGTTGATATATCAAATGTGCCTGTGAGGTGGAGGTCCATTGGTGTGAGGAGGGGGCCAGAGAGAATGCCACCAAAGTAATAGTCCAACACCACTTCCTGTGGATGGGCAGCCTAAGCGGGGCGCGATGGGGAGGAGGCAATAGGAGTTAAGCCTCCATTGATTAACATGTCTGAAGTAAAAACGATAGAGCTAATCACAGGTGGCAGGTGGGTGGGTGGGCCTATTACATGCACAATGGCTAAATTGATCAAGGATGCATAAAGGTGAATACCTCTTCAATGTTAGTTTACACTCTGACGATGTTAGCAGAGGCTAATGAAAGCTAAGTAGATAATATAGTTTAAGTTCCAGAGATCGTGATGTCTGCCTCTTTTGTGTGTGTGTGTGTGTGTGTGTACACATACATACACACATAGATACATATACATACATACATACATAGTAGCTTTGAGTTTCTTCCTTTTCCCAATTACAACACAGGACCAGGCATGCTAAACTCTTTCCTTAACACACATTTATCTAGATGTCTAGCACCTGAACTATTCTGTCTTTTCTCTGCCACCATCTATAGACCAAACTACAGTTTCTTTTCTGTTGCCTCTTTTTTAGAGTCCTTCTGTGACTTCAGTTGCCTTAGGCTTCTTCTTGGCTTCTTTTTCCTGGTCATGGATTGTCTGCTTCTCAGTCATTGCTTCCATAGTTCATATTCCCATTCCAATGCCTTTTACTCCAGTAGCATGTCCTGCCAAATATAAATACCTCCCCTTTTTTACTGTCTATCTTCTTTGGCTTCTTATAGTTTCAAAATCTACATACCAGATTGCAGGTGATTCTAAGGAGTTTTAACTCCCCATCTTTTTTTGTTCTATCACTGAAAATGTGGTAGTCCAGATAGTCAATTTTATATGCCTACCTAACATCAGACCTTCCCAGAGGGGAAAAAAACAACCACTAACAGTTTTGCATAACATTTTTTATGTTCCTTGATGGTTCATCCTTCCACACAGATACATAGCCAATAATTCTATTGCTGATGAAGACTATGTCTTTCCAAATATAAACAATTTCCAACAAATCACAACAATCAGAAAGCAAAGCATGTGTGCGATGAAAGGAATATGGGATTCTAAACAAGCCAAAGGGCAGCCTGAATTGGCTCCAAGTCTTTTAATAAAACCTTCAGCCTGGGAAGAAATATAATCATATATAAGTTCAGAAAAATAAACAGTACAATAGCATACCTACTTTGTAACTATTTCTGGGTGCCGTGCTAATTCCATAATAGTAAAAGATAATAGATTGGCAGTGGTCTCGTGACCTATGGAAAAATAACAATTTATTAACTGAAATAATACAGGCAGAATTTAAAAGTATCAAATTATAAGAGTACTCCAACTTAAAACATTTCCAGTAGAGTGACAAACACTATTGCCACGAATGGTGAGGGTAGAACAAGAAGCAACTTAGAATTAAGGAGAAAATTGCTGACAGTTAGAACAATTAACCAGTGAAACAATTTGCCTCCAGAAGTTGTGAATGCTCCAATCCTGGAAGTTTTTAAAAAGAGATTGGATAACCATTTGTCTGAAGTGGTATAGGGTTTCCTGCCTTAACAGGGCTTGGACTAGAAGACCTCCAAGTCCCTTCCAACTCTGCTATTCTACTCTACTCTACTCTACTCTACTCTACTCTACTCTACTCTACTC